CCTGAAGGTTGGAGGGGATGAATCAGTCATGTTGAATATCCACGATTTACATGAAAATACTTTAATAATGGTATATCTGTATATTATATACATCATGTGTTTCTGTTCCCCCACAGAAATTCTGCAAATCGCCACTTCAAAGTTAAATTTAATGTTTGTGATCCGGCAACAGCTTTTTTTTCTGTCCGTCCAAATATTTCTGAAATAAATATGTAATCAACTTTTATAGGTGTCATCAAATACAGTTCCTGAAATGTGGAAAAAAATACTAACAAATACTTAAACCAAATGTCTTGTGATCTGTATTTATCACAATCTGCAACAGTTAATGTTTAAATTAGCATGTGATTATTACATTTTATATTTTCTACTTTACCCGAACAGTCAAATCCCACATTTATGAGCTGATCCCAGAGCAGAAACTTGATTCTAAAGCCTACAGATGTTTGCAGGATGGAGGTGGAGCCCAACAACAGTGGAAGTCGCTTTGGATAAAAACACCATATATGTAATGTAATAATGTAATGTGTGTTGTAAAGAAAATCACATGATCTCCGCAGCAGAATCTATACATCACTTCCTGACTCTGTCTGCTGCACCCAGCTGCTCCACCTCTCGTCTGAATAATGCAGAGGAATTGTTGCTGTTGTGAATGTGTCTGTGCGGAGAAGCTCTCGCTGTGTTGTGTGTGTGTGTGAAAGGAAAAATGAGGGTAAAGTCCAGACTTCACTCATAGGTCATGTCTGAAAACAACTTATGTTTCAGTGTATTTTGTTGTGTGTGAGTGTGGCTCTGCTGAACTTGCTCTGCTTCTTTTTAAAACAGAGACTTTGATGGAGACAATCAAACCTAATCTCCCTCGTTAATTAGTATAACTCCTGCTCCGAAGCCAATTCATCAGGATCAATCCCAACTGGAGCAAAGTCAATTTTAGCTTTGGACCGTTTCATGTATCATTAATAATCTAAATTTTCAACAAAAAAAACTGAGTTCACTTTAACAAAAGTTATTTAGCTCATGAAAGTCTGGAAACTTTGTGAGTGACTTAATTGTTGCAGCTTAATTAAAATAAATCAGAGCAGTGTGGACAGAGCTGCAGAACAAGATAGTGCAGGGACTTCTCTCTTTATTTATGTCAGTGTAACCTGCAAGATGCAAAATGTCAGAGCCTCAGAGGTGATTGGATAACTTATCTTATAACTTATCACCTAATTTAACTCACAGGTACATTGACATTAAGTTTTACCTTACATTGCAAAGTCCAGGGTCAACGTCTGCTGAGGTGACTAATAAAGACAGGGAGGCATGAATTGTGAAGGAAGATGTCTCTTGTAATAAATTCACAATATAGGAGTATAATGCTGTAAACCTTTATATCTGTGAGACGGTGACAGCTGTGGCTGGAGACATTCTGTTTTCAGATTGTCCATCTGTTTCATTCTTGACTTACCTTATTCCTTTTCCATTGAATAGTCTTATATTAAATACGTCTGGACAGACGTGGATGTAAACTGCACCTTGACTAGTTGGCCAAGCTGTCAAGATGTGTCTATTCCAGTGTCTGTTGGTCTGTTATTATCTAGGGTTACGTATGTTTGTTGTCGTTTCAGTTACTTTTACACCTCTAAACTCTTTTGAATTGGTGCATGTGAATAGGTCAGACTCTACTGGCATTAACATATAGCTCCTGCAGGGAGACACAGAAACTGTTGGTAAAGACATTTGGGAGACAACTATGAAAAAAACTCTGCAACTGTTTTTTCAAGGCACAGAAATGCACACGAGCCCAAAGTGGTGGAGGAAGCAAGCTATTTCCTAAACCATTCCGTTTATGTGTCCTCTTCTTTGCCTTTTTGCGTTGGTGTTTTATTTGTCGTTTAGGAGATGGCCGCACTGTTTACTGTAGCTTTGGTCTTCACAGAGGTACTCACACTCCAAGCCCCCTACAGTTTAAATCTTGTTTTACATCAATGTGGCAAATCAGCTTTTGGGGCATCACAACAAATCCCACCATGTCCCTTCTTCCTTCAGTGTAATCCACGGTTTTATGCCTATCACGCAGAGGTGTGTAGACATTTTGCAGATGTAAACAGCCATTTAGGAACAGTGTGTTAAATCATAACTTTCGTTACCAAGCGGTGAGAAGCAGAGGACAACAGACAAGCTCCGTTGCTGCCGAGGCAGGCTGATGATGTCACAGGCATGATGAAACAGAGATAAGAAGGAGTGGGAGAAGAGAGGAGTGGACAAATAGAGTGATTAGTTGTGGGGAGTGTTCATTTAGGAAGACAAACAACTTCTTTTAAAGCTGCTGCAGCACCGAGGCGGCCTCTCTCTCTCCCGAGGGTTGAAATGTGCCTCTTTTCACTGATGGGGATCCAAACCCAATCCTCACTCTCTCTGTCTCGTGTTTGGAGTGGTAATAGATTATCTAGGGTCTCGCCTGAAGAGCCTTTGATTTGCTTTTGAACATATTTTCTGCCTGCGTATGCTGAAGTTGTTCCTCTTTGCTTTTGATTTGCTGCTGATATGGTCACAGCTCAGCTTATCTACAATATGTAAGAGCTGTTTTCCATTTTTGTTTTTTTTTAATCCCTTGACAGCAGTCATTTCATTTCAAAATTGTTTCGCAGAATAAATGCCAAACTTGCCACCATTACGTTTTGTCCAGTGCCATCTCAAATTCTTGCCTCCCTTCATTGGCTGCAAGATAAAACAGGCGGGTAACTACAATGGTGTTTGCCATCAGGGCCTCGACACTCTCCAACACCTGAGGAGATTAGACCTTTCAGCACTTTACCTGTTTTTAAATCATTGCGTAAAACAAGTGTGTTTTGGAAAGCCTTTCAATGCTAGATGTTTGTTTGTAGATATTTTCTTGTTTGGTCTTGTCTTGTTTTATTCCCATATATTTTTTGAATCACTTGTTTAGATAATTGCTACAGAAATGTGAACATCATTCTATTAAAAGAATGATGATGAAAATATCAATTGAGAACAAAAAATTCCATAGGGAAATGTTTTCTAGCATTTCATCATAAATAAAGTGATAAGACTTATTTTTGTGTGTGTGTGTGTGTGTGTGTGTGTGTGTGTCTATATGGGTGTATATGAAGTTGGATTACTGCCATTTTCCGAGAGAATCAGCACCTACGCATGCCTTTAAGGTTTCCAATATATTTGACATACAGTCCACTTCTGCATTTACACAAATAAATATTTACCACTTGGACACTTGCCTTCGTTGATCTGCCAGAGGGATTCAGTGGCCTGGGCAACACTTAACGTTGTTTCTTTTTAGATGCTGTGTGTGGACGGAAACAGTCGCATGGAGATTTCTCCATCTCAAGCATTTTCAGGGGTATTTTACATTTCTATTATTCTGCCTGGAATATTTTTTCAAGGTAAGCAGTTACTGTACCGGCACAGAGAGCAGACTTGTATTGTGCAGTAAATGTTTAGCAGGACATCTGAAGAAAAGGCATAATGCTGAACTTGTGCTTTGGTCAGTGTAAAGTAAAATAACAAATGAAAAGCATTGGAGAGACGATACATACCCTCCACAACATTGTTATACTGTAATAATGAGATCATTGTGACATAAACAACTACTTAATCTAAATAAGATGTAGAATATGTCTCTAATCTTATTGGTTGCAAGAATGCATGCTTTGCTCCACAATATAATGCCTTTGTTTTTCAATAACCTTTACAGAACCTGTTATGTTTCAGGTTTGCCCAAGAAGCAGACCAACAGTCTAGAATAGATGATGGAATATTTAAGTAACCAAAAACAGACTTACGGTTCCAAAATGCAAACGAAAAAATATATGAGTAAAACTGAAGTGTAAGGGAATCCTTTGAAAGGAGAGTAGGCAGCAAAGATACTTCAAACACAAAAGGAAGCAGGGATAGTTCAACTTTGGTGTGACACTTGAGGACAGGGGCAGAAAATTACAGGAGCAGGAAAACCATCGCTCTAAAGTCATGTGTCATATTTTAATCTTAAAACAACCTGCACATTTTGTGTCATCAGTGATTCTGTGAAATGTTTGTCCCCAGTCAAACTTTCATTGAAGGATTTATTTCTGTTCAACGCTCTCTCACACCTGCATAGATTCATTCCAGTGTCTCTTGACATGTATTACACATACTGTATATCTTGACTTGTTTCACCCGCCCCTCCCCACCCTGAACTGCTATATTTTTTTCTCTTCTTGAAAAGGTGGAGACCCATTTTCCAATTACAGATCTTGTCTTTAGGTGTTAATTGCTGACTGACCTCCAGAGCTGTTGTGGATGTTGTGTAGGGTTTTTCTCTCTTTTTTTTTTTTTATAATGTCTAATCGCACTGAAACAGAGAGCAGCAGCCTAATGGAGAAGAGCCGAGCTGCTTTTTAACCCATTATCCTTCAATGAGGTGTAATCTCATGCAAACACGAAGGTGGCTGTGTGCCAAGTCAGAACGCTCTTCTGCAGAACACGAGCTGCTGTGATTCACATTCATGACATTGAAATGACAGAAGATTTGGTTTTCATTCAGAACAAATGGGTAGAAAAGACCAAAAGGGAACTCAAAAAGTTTATGAGCATTTTGTTTTAAAAGCATAGTGTCTTCACTGATGTTTTCACTAAGTTTGGTTTCAATTAAATATTTTATGCTATAAAAACCTGAAGAAACTTTGCAATGGACAACTGAGACTGACTCGTGTAACGACAGGACCTCGACTCCGTTGCTCAACTCCTCGATGGTTATTGCGTAGACTCTTGCTAAGGTCATTGGAGCAATATGGTAGCATCTGTATCTGGGATACTTTGGCTTCATTTCTGGATGGTGGAAGACATGTTGTCCATCCTCATATAGTCTCTGGTATCCTCACATCTGCCCGAATCATTAGAGCTCACACAATTATGGTGATCCATGTCTACAGTGGCGTGAATCAGCTTTTCCCCTTAACTTCTTCTAATATTTGTACAATGTCTGTTTTGTTTTTTCTCAGGAAACCCTGCAGCCACAGGGACTGGCACATTGATTATCTACCTGGAAGACTACAATGACAACGCCCCCTACGTTGTCCCATCGGTAGCACAAGTATGTGAAGATGCCCATGATTTGAGGGTGGTCACAGTTGGGGGACGGGACGAGGACCTTCCACCCAATGGAGCACCCTTTAAGATAGAGCTGGGGAAACAGCCGGGTCTGGATAAAACATGGAAAGTTGCCAGAGTCAACTGTGAGTATTTTATTCTTTAAAAAGAGTTGAATACTCTTTTCCTTGACTGAACTGAGCAGTTTTAGTGGGGTTTTATTAACAGGCATGTTTTATTTATCTTTTTCCGCCCCGTTATTATTCCCCCATTGCTTTTCTGCCTCTTCCTCCAGGGAATGAAGGGATACAAATAAATTAAAAAAAGACAGTTTGAGCAGGTTGAGAGAAAGCTGTCAAAGCACAAAAGAACCTTTCTACCCAAGAAGGATCAGTTCACCTGAATACACTTTTATTTCCTGTCGCACGGTGTTAATATGAATACAGAGCAGAGCCGCAGTAACTCATACTTATCACATGATGAGGATGAAGAGTAAAATGAAGGAGGGAGGGAGGGAGGACAGACAAACAGACGGACAACCAAGACATTGATTGGGGGGTTGCATGACCGACAGCGCTGTCTGTGTGTGTTTGAGTGACAGAGCAGACCTAGAACGTGCCCAGAGGTATTAGCTGTGACTGACAGCGGGAGAGGGAGGTACAGACACTCCTCAATCACCAGCACTGGAAGAGACAGATCGAGCGAGCGGAGAAGGAGCTGGCTCCCACTGAGGTGGACTGCCGCTGTGCCCGACCCAGCTGTTTGTGTAAAAGCAGGAGAGATGGTGGTTACGGCTCAATAGCACATCTCTTATAATAATAACAGTTTTTGCATTGATTCATGTTCAACAAGTGGATTCAGTTCTTAAAACTGTTTAATAATTGGTTCTTTGAATAAAAGAGGATACAATTAATATCCAGTTTGTTTGAAAGAGAAATCCCACTTTTAATCACAGAGTTGTTCAAAACATTGGAGTAGGTGAGCGATTTTGATGAATATGAAAATGGTCCAAAACTCCCAATCATCCAAAATTGATCCAGAATCTGAAAGTGAATCTATTTAAGCTGCAGGGTGATGAATTAACAATTGTCAACTATAATTAGCAGCAACGTAAAATGAGTTGAAGCTCAACGTTTGGATGTTTTTTCAATGGTTGTGGTTTGTATTTACGTAGCGCTTTTCTATTTTTGATGACCACTCAAAGCGCTTTACAGTACAGTTTTGCCATTCACCCATTCACACACACATTCATACAGTGCATCTATTAGCAGCACTTTGACTCTTTGACTCAGACTTGACTGACTTTTTATCAAAGACCAATTATTGTCTTTTTTGTACTGATGATTCATCTTGGAAAAGTTCATGCCCACTCAAGCATAACATTTACCTCAACCACCAGTCAGTTTAACATTGTTCATGGAGAACAAAAACGAACCAGGCTTTTACTTCTGGAAGACTGAACAAAATAATGACTTTCTCTCTGTAGCTCTGTGGCTCTCACCGTCAACAGATCTAAAAGCAAATGACGATATACAGCAGGAGTCTCAAACACTATTGTCAACCATCATCAAAACACCACATGAGGGAATATCCTGAGAAACTATAGTGTTCAACACTGATAGAATAACTGGAATCTAGCAGTGAGGCCCGGAACTGTTCTGAAGGCACTGAACTAAAACACAGTTTTTTTCCTTAATGTTTCACAGTTTCCTATCTCTGTATATTCCCATCTTAAATTACAACACAAGACATAAATATTTCTGTTTGAAATGGAAACTATCTAATTGTTTTGAGGTAAACTCACTGGTTTGAAACTGCATCTTTGACCTTTTTTTAAAGCAGCCATTTTGCCATTAAAGTATAGTTAGTAGTTGCAGTGGCAGCTATAGCTCAGGAGATAGAGGGGGTCCTCCGATAATCAGATCGGCAGCGGTTTGATTCCTGGCTCCTCCGGTCTACTTACCATAGTGTCCTTGGGCAAGAAACTGAACCTGCCAGTGTGTGAATGAGAGTGATAGATGAAGACGCACTGTTTCACCTGTAATGAAAGGTGCTACATTAAAGCACTATATAAATAGAGTCCATGTACCATTTTAGTTAAATACAAGTGACATTAACAACGATGCTGTTCGGTTTGAGTACAGAGCTGTAATTAATGTGATTAGAATCAGTTGTGTTTATATACTTTCTAATGGCTGCTGTGAAAAAATGGCTTTTCCTGCATTTAAAAAACCGAGTGAGTGAGATGGGTCTGATTTATTCATTTATTTACCAAGTTTTTACTGCGGCTCACAGTTGCTTTGTGACAGTGTTTTGGGTGCACAGTGTGAAAGATGAATTTACTGAACGTAAACCTGAAAGTCACGTAACCCGGAGGTAACAGCCCCGGCAGGCGGCCTGAAGGTGCAGCTTTGCATATTGTGGCACAATTTAACGTGACGTGAAGTTGCTCCAGTATTTTCACTTGTGTCTCATAAGGAATTTTAAAACATGATGCAACAAAATGCAACAATCTTATGCAACTTGAGAGGTGCCAATTTGAAATGCCATTGCACCCAGTTACTTGAGGCATAAAACCTTTGTCATTTATTTCACATATTTAGTTCTGCCTTGCAAAAACTGCCTGTTAAAGCAGAATAAGAGGACACTTCATGCAGAATGACCATCCGCTCCTTTAAATCATCTTTTTTTTCCTCTGTTTGTCTCCGACAGCCACACACTCCCACATCATTCTTTTGCACAGTCTGAAGAAAGCCAACTACCAGCTTCCGTTGCTCATCACCGACTCAGGGGTTCCCCCTTTGTCCAACAGCACAGAGGTCAAAGTTCAGGTGTGCGTCTGTAAGAAGAACAAGATGCACTGCAGCTCGGCCCACTCCCACCCCTACAGCCTTGTGGTGCTGCTCGCGACACTCCTGCTTACCCTACTCTGTAAGTACCATCACTACCACAAGTAGCAATAGAAAACTGCAGGGGATGTTTTTAGTTAGTGGAATCCATGAAATGTAGATTAATGAAGTAAAATAGTTTGTTGTTCTGGGATTCGTCAATCTGAATTTTAGTCTTTTAAAAGTCTTACATACGTTTTAATTGTACATACTAGCTCTTAAATAAAGTCAGGTAGGTCTGAAATATGTTAAAGTTCATGTGATGTTACTTCTGCTCCTTTAATAATTTTTTCTTGAATCCCTTTTTAAGAGAAATGTTTTGGCCTCATACATAGTTCTCCGTCAAAGATACAGAAACTAGCACCCTCCAGTAAAACTAAAACCAGGATGAATGTCTCTAATGTGGCTTGAGACATACTAAGAGTTATTCTCTTAGATTACCACATTATGTTCAAATATGGGGGTGTAAGTGATTCTGTGACTTTGATAGTCCTCAAATTACATTCATTATGGTCTTGAGAAGGTTTTCAAAAGTCTTGAAACCCATTTCTTTGAGAATTGCTAGGCTCAAAAGTCAAATTCTACAGGCTTTTAGGATAATTTTATTTAAGTGCAGTAAATATACAAATGTCTATGTGATACATTGTAGTTTTGGTTGTATTCCTTTCCATTCATGCCAGTTTTGCAGGCACCCAACAGTTTTCCTTTTGCATTTCACACCTCCATCTTTTTCTGCCACAGTGCCTGCAGCTCACACCAGCCAAGTCAAACTTGAATTTACTCTGAATATCTCAAATAAGTCACTAAACACAACAAATAATTCAATACAAACATAATTAAGGGCATTATCAATAGGTTTAAGACTCACAGATTCAGTTCACCTGTCTGAGTTTGTTCTTTAGAGTCAGGTTTAATGTGCAGATTGATTGATTTCATTTATTTCTCAGTCAACAGTAATAGACAACAATAAATACAGGACAGTAAAATAAAAAAACAACAACTTACATAGAGCTATTTAAAAGGCCAATTGCAGTAGAGACAAATTAGTTTTTAAGTCTATTGGCCCTGGCAAAGAATATCTGCAGCCAGAGGGAAGCAACATGAACTCCTTAGACAGCGGGTGACTAGCATCAGACAGGACTGAGTGAGCTTTCTTCAAGGTCCTGACTTTGTACAGGCTGGGCAGGTCCGTCAAGGTTATGCCTGCAACCTTGCTGCACACTTTGACTACAGCCTGTAGTCTGTGCTCATTTTGTAGGCTGATGGACCTGTACCAGCAGACCAGTGAGAATGTGAGCACAGATTCGATAAAACAGGAATAAAACATTTTCATAAAAGTACTATCAACATTAAAACTTCGGAGTGTCTGATAAAAGTGTATATGCTGATATGCTTTCTTGCACACAGCATCCACTTGGGGCTCGAAGGTCCACTGATGGTAAATAAAAGATTTATAAGCTCCTTTGACCGAGACAAGACATTTCGTAAACCACGTAGGACATGTTACATACTGATAAAAGTTAGCCCAGTCACCCATAACAAAGTTCGTAGCATCCGGTTGCACGGTCCTTGCTATGGTCCGAGTTGCCACATACACATCAGCCTTTGGGTGAATGTACACAAGTGTGACAAATAATTGGGGAGATTCCCTTGGCAGATAAAAGGCTCTTAGGGATACAGACAATAGTTCGATATCAGGGGTGAACAGAGTCCCTGATGACCACCGTGTTAAAAGAATAAGAGGAGCGAAGGACAGAGGGTAGAGAAGGGATAGGAAATGAAATGATTGGGAATACAGGAAGGAAGGGAAATTAAGTGAAGGAAAGAAAAGGATGAGAAAGAAAATGACAGGAAAGGAAAAGGAGAAATATTTTAGGCCTGAATGTATTCCATTCTTTCACAATTTTTGTTTGAATGTGAAATGTCCACTGATCATCAGAAAAGTCTCAGTCGTGTTTCTCTACAGCTCTTTCCTCTCTTTTCTTTGCCTCGCTCTATTGATCATAAAGTCTCTCTCCTCCCCCTTACTTGTCCCGTAGATTACTCCCACTCCCTTCTTCTTCCCGTCTCTCATCCCTCAGCCCTCTCTGCCACGGTTTTTTCCTTCCCTGCAGAACTTTTCTTGCGTTCTTTCCGTTTAGCAATCAACTGCACTCTCCCCATAATCCTTTTGCTTACAGGCAGAATCTCGCGCCTCATCTTCTCATTTTCCCTCGGTATCTGTGAATCACAGCATCTAGCATGACCCATTGATCTTCCTCTGGGTGTGGATCAATCTATCTGTTGAAGCGTATCTCTCCTCAGGGCGCTCATTCACAGCAGATGACATCGCTGCAGTGTACGGGAAGGCTTTGTTTGAGGCTGTGCCTTGAAGGACTCATTGTGGCGTTCTCTCATTATGCAGTTAGTGCACTTAGTTATACCTGCAACTTCTGTTAAAACTCGTGATTCACAGGACAAAAACTATTAAATTAAACTGACAATGTGTGGCAAGCAGCTGTAGGAGTGCGGCAAACTCCGGCGCTGATAGACCATTAGTTGCGGCTTCACTGCAACACACTAATCACGAGCGTAAGCTGATGCTGCGTCAGCGTTCGCGGGCGAGCAGCCACCTCTCAGAAAGTTTTATGGCAGTGAGCCTGAGAGTTCCCAGCTGGAACAGTCAGTCAGATTTTCACACTCTCCTCTTTTTGAAAGATTTTGTTATCTGCCATTGCCATGGTAGCAGTCATAGTGTCTGAACTAGAAAGCATGTTAATTGGCTGACATGCCGAGATGAAACGAGTAGAGTTTTCTCCACAGATATCCTTCCACTGAATGAAAGTAGCATTCATTACTCTACTGTAAAGAGTGCAGAGATAGACAGTGACATTCATTGACCAAATAGCTGCTGCAGAGTCTGAGGTTACCTGGTCCTGTGCACAAATATAATCCAGTTAGTGAGACTGAAGTATGTGACGGAGAGGAAACTGGTGTGTGTGTGTTCCTGTACTTATATCTTTGTGAGGACCATTTTAAGCAAAGACCCTAGTGGAAACATTGTTGGAAAGTGAGGACGTTTTGACGGGTCCTTTCTTTTTTTTCAGTGGGCTGTTTGAGGGCTAAGACTTGGTTTTGGGGTTAGGGTTCAAATAAGGTTAGGCATTTAGTTTGGATGGTTAACGTTAGGGTGAGGGGCTAGGTAATGTATTACGCCAATGAGTGTCCTCACTAAGATAGAAGTACAAAGGTAGGTACCATAGTAATAACTATGGTTAGAGTCTTCAGGAAATCAATGTGAGTCAATGTAATGTCTTCTGAAGTCATCAAGACACGACTGTGTGTGTGTCAGTGTGGGTATGTGTATGCTTTTGTGTGTGTGTTTGTGTGTGCGTGCGTGTTGAGAATCTCAGAGTATTACAACTCGACAGAGGTTCGACCAATTCTGTCGCAGTACATCTTCGCACACACACACAGACACGAGTGCCCAGAGAGATGACTTCTGCTCAAGCTCATCACAGAGACCTGTGCTGGGGGACAGATAGAGGGGACTGATCACTGCAGTGTATAGTCAGATAGTCTGACAGAGAGGATCCTGTTTCAATTCCCTTATCTCCAAGCTGAACTCTGACCTTCCAGGGGAGAGATGAAGGGAAGAAAAATGGAAAGAGCCAGAGGGAAAGGATGGGGGAAAGGAGACAAGAATAAAGGTGTGGAGATTAAACTCTCCTGTTTTTTTTGCCCACCGGGCATCAGGCGTACAGTGAGCAAGCTGCAGTTTTCTTAATTTCTCTGGCTCCTTACATCTGTATCTCTCCTCCCTCTCCCTCCTCCTACTTCAGCTTCCTTTCTCTTTTAGTCCCCAAATCTATCACCTAGAAAATACAATGAAAACAGTATAAACAGTTTAGACCTAATTACGTCTTATGTTTAATGTGTTTTCATAATCATGGCTGTTAATTTACTGAGAGGTTTGTTAAGTGGCATTTTTCAACTTATATACAAAAAGAGATTTGTCTGTTTCAAATGTGTCTTTTACATGGTTAGCATGGATGTTAAACGTACTATATATAATTTCTGCCACTAGGGGGTCTCCCAATCAAAACAATAACAAAAGAGCTAGTTTGATGATGTCATGAAGCAGCGTGGGATCATGGGAGTTGTCTTTACCACAACTGCTGATTAAAATCTACTGAACACGACTCCTGCAAGTCATGTTCAAGACAGAGATAACGTTTTATTCAAGTTACACAGCAAATTGCCAAAGAATAATCATTATCCAATACGAGTGACCTATATAAGCAGTGAACCTGGCTAGCAGTGTGTTTTTCCTTGGTCATATGTCGTCTGTAAGTTTTAGCAGAGATGGGCCAAGCCTCGGGTAAAGCAGATATGACGCTGTTAAAAAGTGAAGGAAATGTTGCGTTCCCTTGAATAGAATTGATGTTTTCTCTGGGTTTGAACATTGTTAAATATGCAAGTCAACAAAATTTAGGTGTAGTCATTTTTAGAGCAATACTCCTACGAGGGGGCAGTGCAAAGTCGAGATTGTGGCAATGATTGTGGAGTTTCTGATAATGTACCTCCCTCTTTATATACAGTCTATGGTACCTCCTGCTTGTGGGCTCGAACAAAGCAATCTGGCACAGTCGTTTGTTGGTTTAGAATTTGAGTAATATAGGATATGACTCATTAAAGCTTTCAATATTTAAACTAAATCCTTCCCTGACCTTAACCAAGCTTTATTTATTGTGATATATTGTGCACATCTTTGTTCTCTGTATCTGGAGTTGCGTTACTCAAGAACAAGAACTTCATGTAGTTCTTTGCCTCCTCTGTGTGAGCACTAAACCCCCCAGAGGACACGTTCTTCAGTCTCTGCAGCAGTTGGTATTTTGTGTATTGTGTATTGTGGATGTGTGTGTGGGTGTGTGTGGGTGAGGTAATATATTTCCTTGTATGCGAGTGTTGATTTATTCTGAATGAGGCTTATGAAGAGAGAGAAAATGAACAGAAAATCTGTCTCAACAAGAACTTCACTTGCATATTCAATCTGAAGTCATA